TTAATTCAATAATTTCTACCATCTGCTGCAAACAGACTAATTGACCCATAAAACTGACACTTGCTGTAAATATGGCATCTCTCCATTCAGAGATTACAGAAATGCATCGCTTTCGGTGTAATTAAATCCTGGCGGCGCCTCCAAATTGATAATTGATAATAACGTTATCATATAAAACATGACCGACCACACGTGTTTTTCAATTTTGGGGGGCGTCCTGCTGTTTTTATTGATAAGAAATGGACACATGACGGCCTCCCGGTATCGCATCGTTGACCTAATAATTCAGAGCTAAATTGATTGTAAATATTTTGATTATTTTACATACTTTGTAGTAGTAGAATTTTGTATGGCGTTTATCAGTTTGTTGTAGAATTGAAATTTTTATTGCACGTATGAAATTTGATATGAGTCTCGAAGGAGATGTTTCCTTTCCCCAAAAATCCGATTTGCTAATTTTGTTTTCTCAACGTTTCAAATCATTTTGCAGCGATTTTGAAGTAAATTTGGGTATAAGTATATGTGTTTGTAAGCCAAAAACATCTCAACCGATTTAAAAAATTTAGAAGCCATGTGATGGATCTCGATTGGAATCACGTTAGTTAGTTTTTCTAGACTATTTTTCTCCGCAATTTTAATAAAAATCCTGAATCAACTAGGACAATTTAAAATACGTGCGATCAATATCAGTTGGGAATTGTCCTGATTAGGTTTGGAAAAAATCGGTTGGGCAGTTTCTCCGTATTTAACTGTTGAAAAAAAATTTTTCAATGTTACTTTTTATGTATATATATCATGATCCTAAAGAACGTACTAAAATAATACAAGTCGTTTATTTTAAATATTTACCATTTTTAACTTTCCGTAGGGTAAGTTATAGTAATGAGCGAAAATCGAAAATGAAAATTTTTAAATATCTTTACGTTTCAGAGGTTTCTGAATATTTTGGCATACCTTAAAAAAAATGGATGTGTGCGTGTGTGTATGTGTGTGTGCGTGTGTGTGCGTGTGCATGCGGATACAAATTTTCGTCGACGATTTCGGGCGCATTGATCAATGAAATAAAGAGTGCAGAAAATAGAAGTTAAGATTTTGAGAGAACGGTGCATCCGATTTGAATGATTCAAAAAACATTCTATTCGTAACGATGGGGAGAAGTGATTACTACTTTTGGCAAAATCAGCCTCAACCGTTTCAGAGATAATGAGTTAAAATTGTAAAAAATGATAGTTTTTAGAGGAAACAAAGTATCCGATTAGATTGATTCAAAAACCATTTTGCATGTGAAATTCGATCCTCACATTTATTATACAAAATCAAAATTTTGGCCAACTTTTCAAAAAAAAAATTGGTTGAATAAGGTTACAAAGGAACTCATTGTCTATATTGCAACATAATTAGTTACATTTTGGAAACATTTTATTACATTTTGTTCGGCTTTTCGTCGGTGTCTTTCAATCATTTCACCAATCTGGAGAGTTGGTGAACACATTTCTCTATATATATAGACTTTGACCAGCCTCATGTCAAGCAGTAGTGACAACGGTTTTTACTTGGAAATAGAGTTAGCATAAGTTAGTTTCCAAGTAAATATAGCCCTCACCAGACATTGCTGCATTAATAAATATTAGCCACATTACAGACATTGTATTAGTAAAATTCATAAAACAGAGATGGAAAATAGTTTGGGTTGCCATCTGTAGCATCGACGAATGATGAAGTCAAATCAGCATAATAGCTTATAGCACTTCCAAAATATCAAAATTTGAGAGCGCATAAGCGCCGTCTCGCAGTCTTTCGAGTAAACATTGGTACGGAACCCATAGCAATGTAAACAAAATTTGTACTTATTATTATAATCTATATAAAATATCCGATAATTTGATATGCATATCTATGTCTAATTATCATTTTTGACTGCCAATTGATATTTTTTTACTATTGGATCTTCGAAACCGCTGATTTTGCCTTTCCAAAAATTTAGTCAAATTTTCATTTCATCAATACAAGTTAAATACTTTTTAAATGATTCAAATCGGTTGAACCGTATTCCCGAAGTTGTCGACGAAAATTTGTATCCGAACACAAACACACACACACGCACACACACACACATACATCCATTTTTTCTGTAACTATAAACGTATGTAACCACGTAAAGAAATGCAAAAATTTGGATCTCGATTACTATAACTACCCTACGGGAAGTTAAAATATTATGTAAATCTTCTAAATATACTTCTATTTTTTAAATTATAGGTAATTTTCTTCAACGTATCTACCCATTGATGATACCACCACTAAAGTTCTAATCTTAGAATGACCTCGTGTCCTCCTACCTTCTTGTTCTTGTTCTTGTACTTCTGTATTGGATGGATGAATGAATGAATATTTGAACGTTTTCTATTTTCGTTCGACAAAGGAGTGTTGAATGCGACTTCTCCGCATTCTCGCCATGAATCTAATAAGATCTCATTTAGACTAATAGTAAATAATGATATAGGAGACGGATCACTTGGACGGGGACACGTGCAGGGATTGAACTAAGGAAAATTCAATCAAATTGAAAAATAGACGTTGGAAACGTAGTTTTATTAATTACTAGGTAGATAGGACTGTGTTATCGATTATTCAATTTATATAAGCTTATATAACTTAGGTTATAAAACTTACGCCCTTACAGGCGTGGAATTTTTTTTTTTTATGGAAAACATCATGATTCATAATCTTCAGAATACTTAAAAATTGATGCTTTTTAAGGGGTATTCTAGTGTAGAGGCAGAATTTTAGGTAATTGTTAAGTTTAAGTTTCTTTTTTGACTATTATTTTTTTTATTATTTATTTATCAACGTTGCAAGGGCACAGAAATTATTTTTTTTAAATAAGACGAGAAGTGGTTAATTTTAAAAAATTAACACGTGACCCTGGGTTTCAACCCTTCTAGTGATCCAAAAAGAAAAAAAAATTAGATTTTTAATCTAGAATGAGGTTGCAATGGCATATACTAAGATCGAGTCAAAAAAAATTTTTGACTAATTGATGACTATTTTTTTTAAAAAAGGACCATTTTTTCTTACCACTCTTTTGAGTTTCTAAATTTTTTTAAAAATATCAAAAATTGAAATTTGGGGCTGAGGCTAGTATATATACGAGGTCTGTTCAAAAAGTACCCGGAATTTTCGTTTTTTCAAAAAAATATTTATTTATTCGTCTACATTAATGTGGTCCCCTTCAAAGTAGTCCCCCCCAGATATAATACACTTATGCCAGCGTTTTTTCCAATTTTCGAAGCACCCTTGATATTCACTTTTTGATATGTCCTTGAGCACTCTCAGCGATTTTCTTCAATCGAGGAAAACCGCCGTCCTTTCATGGGTCTCTTCAACTTTGGGAATAGGAAAAAGTCACACGGAGCCATATCTGGTGAATTTTTGCACTTTGCAACACTTTATTTCATTTTTTACGCAAAATTTAATACAAATTCTTTGACTTTTCAATTCTTCCATTGTAAAAATCGCCGAGCTCAGAAAAAACACGTCGAACCTTAGCGACTACCACAGACAAAGTAAACAGTGAATATAGCTGAAAATTTCATCATACTTTAGGGGCATGTATACCAACACAATAAAAAAAAAATTTGACAATCAGACACTCCAGACCCGCGAAATTTAATTATTAGTAATTCCGGGTACTTTTTGAACACACCTCGTATGCTCGAGAGAAGCCTAAAGAGAAAATTCTCTGAAAATTTCAGATGTGCAGTAGAAATTGAGAAATCGTGGGCATCGTATTGATAAAGAGCGTTTTGAGGAAAAACGCGTTTAAAATTTCCCAAAAGGAAGGAAACAGATGAGGAAATCATGGTCAAACAGTAGTATCTCTGAAAATAATTTGAATTTTTAAAAATGCTCTCGTACACATATTTTTAGTTACACTTTGAAAGTTACATTTTATAAACTGATTATAGTAATTTTAATCTATAGTAATATAGAAATATAGTAATAATATAATTTATAACAATATTAGTTCATCGACATTTTCAAAATGTGCCCATGTTTTTCCAGAAATTTACTTTTATATGCCACAAAACCACTAATTTTATATTATTTAATAAAACATTGCTCATGAATTCACTAACCTATTATTTACATAAATTAATTCAAATACACTATGCTTAAATTTATTAGATTTTTTTTTTATAATACTTCTAACAAAATCGATACAATATATAACTAGAAAGAGAATAATGTTTCCCAACTTTTTACCCATCTGTACATTAAAAAAAATGTACAAGTAAATTTCCATAAAAAAAATTTAACTTTTTTACAAATCTGTTATATACCAGACTCACTCACAACTTAATTTGAGCGGAATTTAATAAAAAAATGTTAACTTTTTATGATTTTTTTTTAATTGTTATTTATTTTCAACTTTTTCAATTAACCTCATTGACAATAATCCTCATACAATATTCGTTGTCCGATTTTCTTGGGATATTGTCATGATTTTAGAGATAATTGACTTTGGGGGCGTCCATTAATTACGTGAGGTTTTTAGGTGGAGGGGGGGAGTTCGCCAAATTAGACGTGACAACGCTGCACTCATTTTTCTAAGAAAATATTACATTATTTAAAAATTCTTAAAAAATCGATCACGTGATTAATGGACGCCCTTTTATGGGTTATGGGTCCTGCGTTGGAAAACACTGACAAAGAAAAAAAAATAGTACAATATCAATGTAATTTATTATTGACATATACTGCTATTTTATCTTTCTCCAATGCAAAAATATTATTTTTTATAAATTTTCTATAAATTTTTTTATTACATTTCTATGTTGTTCATTAGAAGTTCATTTTTAAGTTGTCTTTATTACTTATTTAATTTCCACCTTATGGTGTGAGTATCAAATTTATTATTATTGCTGCTTTTTATTTGTTCAATCCAACAATAATTTTTTTAAATAAATTTTCTATAAATAATTTTCCTTCTTTTCCAGATCTAGTACACTGCACAAACGAGCCAAACGTCTCGATACCCCAATTAGCAAATTTACTGGTCGAGAGGTCGCAGAACACGAATTGGGTCGTAGTCTACAAAGCACTAATCACGGTACATCACATGCTAGCATATGGTAATGAGGTAAGTAATCTGTAATTTGAAACAATTCAACGATTAATCATTATAATAATAGTTATTAATAATAGTTAATTATGTGCTCTATGTCACGAGACTTGGAAGGAGCATGTAATTAAAGCTCCTTCAATCTGGTTGCTCCTGCCTGTTTGAGCTTTTGTTGGTTCATTATGAATAGTATTATTTCATTGGTGGAATTTGATGCTTTTGAGCTTTATGAACTACCCTCATAGATTCATTCTAAGTATGGAATATTATTTCATTTATCTTTTATTATAAATTATTTCTATAGCTGCACTTATTCCATATGAAACATCAGCAAATTTTTGGTAGTGCATAGAATGCCTAAATCCAATGCCCAATACTGTGATAGGATGTGAATTCTTGCATCAATTCTATCTAAAAATGGCAAGTAACATTTTTCAGAAGGATAAGTTATAGTAATCGCCAAAAATTGAAAATCAATATTTTCGCATATTCTCACGTTTCAGAGGTTTCTGAACATTTTGGCTTACCTTACAAAAAATGGATGTGTGTGTGTGTATTTTGTGTGGATACAAATGTTCGTCCACGATTTTGGGTGCACGGATCAATCAATTTGAAATATTCAAAAAACATTCCATTCCTATTAATAGGGAGATGTACTGATTAGTTTTTGGCAAAGGCAGGTCTAGCCGTTTTGAAAATACGGAGTAAAAGTGCATAAATTAAAAATCGAGTTTTTGAGAGAACGGTGCATTCGATTTGAATGATCCAAAAAACATTCAAATTGTAACGATGGCGAGAACTAGTGATGAGTTTGTGGCAAAGGCTGGACCAGCCGTTTTGGACATACGGAGCTAAATGTACAAATAATGGTACTTTTTGAGAGAACAAAGCTTCCAATTTGAATGATTCAAAAAACCCTTTTAAAGGAAAACATTGTTAAAAAAGTTAAAAAAATTTTTTGAGTATCGAAAATATTTCATATTTCAATTTTAATTGTAGCTAATATTCTAAAGCTCATTTATATACACGAAATAAATATTTTAACTTTACAATTCCGTTTATATAATTCTTAGAAATATGAGATAAGGTCCTTCATTCTAACTCCGCTTGATTAAGTTTTGTTTATTCACTTTTCATGTAAACTTATATAAACGTCATCGTCTCATTTATAAGCTCTTATATTTTGTCTATAAAATATGAATAATGATAGTCACAGTATTTATAATGATATATTTGAAAACATTTAATATTCTTCTAATATTTCATTATGGAACGAGAAGTTCTAGCTATTTGGCTTAAGGCACAAGGCCATACACTACTAGTTTTGTTTTATCGACGTTTCAAACCATTCTGAACAATTCTGAATCGTTCGAGACCAAATTTGGAAAAAGTATGTGTGTGCCTGTTTGTGAACAGACTTTTCTACCTTTCGTCGACGTTTTCTCAAAAACGGCTGGACCGATCTCAAAAATTTAAAAGCCATTCGATGTATCTCAATGAAGATTGTGGTTGGTCAGATTTGCGCGACGATCAGCAGAGCAGTTTCTTTGTAATTAGAAAAAAGTGTAAATTCTTTTGCTTATAGCTTCTGCAGCTTCTCTTTAATTTCAATTTTTTTTAATATTTCTCGATTTTTTCTATTTTTTTTGCATAATTTTTAATCTAATTTTTTTTTTTATTCCAGCGGTTTACACAGTACCTCGCTTCGAGCAATTCCTCATTTCAACTTAGTAATTTTTTGGATAAAAGTGGAGTCCAAGGTGGTAAATATATAATCAGAAAATAAACTATTAAATTAATTTTTGTTTATTTCTAATAAGTTACACTGTTTCTACTAACAAAAACATCATACGAATACTAATGTTTTAAAAAAAAAAGAAAAACAAATTCATTCAAAAATTAACATTGATTTTTCTAAATTGCTTTTCAAAATTCGACATCAGATTAAACAATTTATTTAACAATACCATTAATAGAATAATATTTATTAACACGAATGATTTTTCTGTTCCCGCTCACATAAGGAGCCGTTGGGGCTAAAATTGGTAAGTTGATTTACTAACAACTAACAATAATAAAAATTTCATAGTTATAATAAGGGCCAATTCTCGGATAAAACAGAAATGTTATGTTACGGGTCTGAATTCGCATGAATTGGTAGTCACTGACTGTCAAAAAGCTATGCCTTTGCTGTTTGATCAAAAACACATAACTAATCTACAAAACGCACAAATGTAAAATATCAATTTTATTATAAGTGCATCTTTCTGTTCTGCCTTGATAACATATACGTGAAGTTGGGTTTTTATGTATATAACGCCTGATCGCTCAGCAAATACATAGCTTTTTGACAGTTTACTACCAACTCATACGAATATAGACCCGTAACTTAGCATTTCCATAACATTTCTATTTTATCCGAGAATTGGCACCATAAATTGCTTTTAAAAATATGTTCTAAACAAGAGGGTTCACAAATGTTAATCCAGGGTTGAATTCTGGGTGGCTGTCTGATTCAGATTCTTATTAACTTCATTTTTGTTTTAATATTTAGCTTTCCCTGGGGTTAGCTATAGTAATCGCAAAAAAATCGAAAATGAAAATTTTTATGTCTTTACGTTTCAGAGGTTTCTGGTCATTTTGGCGATACCTTAAAATTTATGTACGTGTATACAAAATTTCGTCGACGATTTCGGGAAAACCGGTTAACCGATTTGAATCATTCAATAAAACATTCGATTCGTATTGATAAGAATACGTGCTGATTAGTTTTTGACGAAGGTAGCTAGACCTACGTTCCGAAGATACGGGGCAAAAAGTGCCAACTCACAAAATTTTGGGAAGGCAGGGTTAGCGGTTTCGGAAATCTAGTAAAAAAGTAAAGAAAATGCCATTTGCCGGTCAAAAATAATCATTAGACATATGCACATCAAATTATCAGATATTTTATGGAGATTTTGATAATTACACATAAGGAAGGTGGAAGTTCCAGCAATTTTCTTTAAGGCGCTAGTTTTAGTCTTAATTCAATACTTTGTTTTATTTTTGTTTGATTTTTTCGCCTTGATTCACCTTTCTTTCAACCAACAAGTATTTACCAGAATTCTGTATTCGATCCTGGATCAGCATTTGTGAACCTCCTTTGTTTTTATAAAATATGGCTATGCGTTTCGTTTTCTATTTACAATTTGGTAATCATACATAATTTAATTAACTTTTAGTTTAATATTTTATTTTATTTAATCATTTGTTTTTTTTTCATCAAACAATGGTTTTAATCTCATGTTTTTTTCTGGTTTGGCATTTGTTGATATTTTTAAAAATTTTTAGTTTTAAAGTTAAATAATTGACATAATATTTTAATACATTCTTTATCAATTTTTTACCTGAACCTTTTAAAATTGTGTACTTCAATTAATATATAGAATAAATAATGTTTCAAACTATTTAAATATATTCTACTGATAAATTTTACTCTCACGTTCGGAATCTGGTACGTTATGTATGTTTTAACATTTTGGTTCCAATTAACAGTAATAAACATACGTAAGATAATGTCTTCTCATTTATTAAATTAATTTTCAATAATTATTTTCTCTAGGATATGACATGTCTCCGTTTATAAGGCGATATGCCAAATACCTGAATGAGAAAGCTTACTCATACAGGACAGTCGCATTCGACTTCTGCAAAGTTAAAAGGGGGTAAGTAAGATAATTTCAATATTGTCTTCATTCTTTAGAATAGTCGATAAAATTCGCTTATCAGAAAGCATTTCTTTATAACCAGAAGCCGATACTGCTACATACTCCTATAACGCGGTACTTTTACAACGCGGTTTTCGTTTAACATCATTTCATAAGTTCCTTCCGCACAGGCGCAATAACTAGATACTCATCACATCACAAAAGCGACTTTTGACGCAAATTTTGACTATTATATTTTTTACAAACTTTGACTAATTTTTAAAATATGAATATGAACACTTTCTATCGATTTTTTTAATATCTTAACTGCAAATTTCTAGAATTTTAAGCTAATGAATATCCAAAGCATAATCTATTTCCCCTTTTAGGAAAGATGAAGGTTCACTCCGCTCCATGCACGCCGAAAAACTGCTTAAAACCCTCCCTGTCCTGCAGCAGCAACTGGATTGCCTGCTGGAATTTGACTGCACATCAAATGATTTAACGAATGGAGTCATCAACATGTGCTTCATGCTGCTCTTCCGTGATCTGATACGTCTATTCGCCTGCTACAATGACGGCATCATAAATCTTTTAGAGAAATATTTTGATATGAATAAAAAACAGTGCAGGGATGCATTAGATCTGTATAAGAAATTCCTGGTTCGAATGGACAGGGTTGGAGAGTTCTTGAAAGTAGCAGAGGTAAAGAAAAACTACTGAAATACTAGATTAACTGAATATTGTCTACTTCTTAGTAAAATACTTTTATTATCCTTCTGCAACCTATTCCTAACTGGTTCCTAATTACTACTATTTGCTTTGCAGAATGTTGGTATTGACAAAGGAGACATTCCAGATTTGACAAAGGCTCCCAGCTCACTTTTAGATGCTCTGGAGCAACATTTGGCTTCATTAGAAGGAAAGCGAGGAAGCGCTGCCAATACTCCTACACAAACAGCGAGGTAAAAAAATTTGAAAAGACCATTTAAGACACTATATGCGGGGCGGGTAAAAATACCCGTTTCGAGGACTGGCGCGGGTATTTTTACACGTTTGATTGTTACTAACTTAAAATAGGTTTACATGTGATACCAAAAAGAGTTTGAGCTGGTGGTTTTTGTTTAGATTCAATTGATTTCTTTCGTTGACTTCGTTCTTTGCTTGTCATTTTGCAGTAACCAAAAGAATGTGAAAAGTGGCGTGACTGCATTAAGTTCGACATCAAATGCTTTTGGCAGTGCAGCACAAAGTTCTCGTCTCGAAAATTCCAATGGTATTGATGAGAATCTCAGGCACAGGCTCTTGCTGAAGAGGAAGCTGCTATGAATCAATATAAAGTATGTTTATTAAATGGAATTAGATTTTTCTAGTCGTGTTAAAAAAATTTTGGTTAAGTCAATTTTCAACCTTACCTAGAATGCCACTTACACCTAGTTCTATTCACCTTCTTTTCTATTTCCAGTCAAAACTTCAGAGTCCGACAAATTCAGCCGGAGCAAACTCGAGCACGAATCCCTTCCTCTCGTCGCCAGTATCGTCTCAGCCACCTGCTTCGGCAGCTGCCTCCCATAGTGGATCTGTTTGGTCCAGCTCCACCGGCTTCCACTGGACAGAATGGAGGCACCGTATCGGGTAAACCAAGTGACGATCTGCTGCAATTAGGAAATCCATTTGCTGATATGTTTGGACCGCCACAGCCCGCAGTTTTACCGCAGCAGCAACAGCAGAACAATATGTGGACTAATGGTAAACTGGGGGAAAATATTAATGGATTAGTAACTTAGATTTTAACAACCGGCGGAGAAGTTTGTTTTTGGCAGAGAAAATCTGATTCTTAATCGTTTGAGATCTAAATGAATTTGTGTTTGTGAGTAGATTTTGACTTTTTGTCGACGTTTCCTTTAAAAATGCTGAACCGATTTCAAAAATTCAAAAAACATTCGATGTAACATGATGCGACGATCGGCCAAGCTGTTTGTTTACAATTAGCAGAAAAGTAAAAAAAAGAACAATCTAAGTATTGATACAATCTGGTATTTGTGCTGATTAGTTTTTGGTAAAGATCTGAAGAGCTATTCTTTTGGTAACCATTTGTTGCAATTTTTTATGACGATTTCGATGAATCTTTATATGACGATAGGTTTTGTAGTTTGAAATAATATACTAAAATATTATAGGCCTACGTTCAGCGGTTGAATTATAAAAATTCATCAAAGTTTAGAATTCGCTGCGCGCTTGAGCGTCCTGTGTTTTGTTCGTAGCTACTGATTACAGTTGGCGGCCACTTGAATAAAATACATTTTTAGAGTTCAAAATGGATATGAAATGGGGATAAATTAATTGAGTTTATGAAATTATTGATCATTTAAGTATGTTATAAGAAAGACATTACATGCAAATTGATTGATCTTTTAGTTATAATAAAAATTTTATTTTCTAAATGAACAGGTGAACAGTTTACCAAAATATCTGAATTTCAATTTTTTTTAAGTTGATTAGATCTACATATTGGGAAATTTATACGTCTTGCCTCAAGAGAAAATGCCCTTACGCCCAGTTTACTTATTATTTTGCTTTTTCAGGTTTCTCTCAGCAAACAACAACGAATAGCTCGTATCAGACAGCAACTTTTCATCAGTTTTGGAAATTCAGAAACTAACAGGTAAGTTTGTTTTACTGCCTTGAACTTATTTAGAATCTGAACACATTATAAATATTCTAACAAAATCGTATGTGGTTTTTGTGTCTTACTGAATTCTAAATGTACACAGTTCTATTAAATAGCATGTAGTAGTTGATCGAAACTGATGTTTCTGATAACCTTCTTAGTTTAATGTGATTCTTTAAACTTAA